AAGTATCTTGATAATTAAAATAATGTACTGCAAAAGCCCATATAAATACACCCATGGGACCTGTATTTTTGGACTTATTTTGATTCATTTTGTTACGTTTGTAAAAAAATAGCTTATCAGGATAAGATTTTGTTTGCTAAGAGATGGGTGGGATATGTTGTGTTAAGAAATGCATACTTTGAAGATGGCTGTCTTCAGGGTTGTTTGTACTGTGTGGTCTGGCAGAAGTTTATCAGTATTCCAGAGGTGCTTGTATTCTAGCTCTGATGATGGAGGTAGCAAGTACCCCTGAAACATTGGTAAACTTCTACTATACCACAGATTCAAACCATAGGTTTCCCAAATCGAAGGCACATTTAGACATGCGGTCGAAATTTTGTTTGATATTTGAGCCCATTCGTAGATAAAAAATTGTTCGTTCTGATCTTTTATGACTTATTACGTTATTCATAGTTATACTGCGTTCATTTGAGTTCTTTATCCATCTCGCGACATCTAGATTACACCACATTACTTACAGGTAAACTTAGTTAATCTTATCTCAACTTAAACTGCCATTTAGATTCTTTTGTGGTAGTGTATGGAAGGCGGTGGAACGGGCGATATGTTTCTTTCTTCAGAATCTTGAGTGAAGCTAAGTAAGTCGTTCAGTAGGCCAGAACAAACTGTTTTTTTAAACATTTATAGTGCTTTTCTGGGTGTATATCTGAAGATACATCTCATAGAATAGTGCATTTTATTACAATGTTATGTGCACCGTCTCGTAAAACACGAACAGTTGGTTTATGACTAGATGCCACTTTGCGACCTTGGATGTTTTACGGCCGTATGAAAACAGGTGTAATTCAGAACATACTTCAACTGTATACAGTGCTGTGGCTGTGGCTTTTCATTTACGTTCTGACACTGCAGGAAGAAGGGACGCTACTTCTAGTGAGTCTCCACGCGGTATGAAGAAGACTTACAACGTTATATAATTCCATATCAGGTAAGATTCCTTATAGAAGCGTAAAGAGTAGGTTAAATTCTGGTAATGCTCGCCACCACTTAGTTGCGATCTCTGTCTCCTAACTTAAAATGTAAAGGTTAAAACACCATATACAAAACCATTTCGCTACCTGTTGCATTTGTGGGTGTGGAGCTATCCTTCGCCAGAAAAAAGAACGCAGGCTACCATAGCTTAATGATAGGATGGCAGGATTTGAATTTCTCGTGGCGGCGAGTATGAAGATGGCTGTCTTCTGGGAAGTACGCCGTGTATTCTGGTAGATATTTTCCGACGTTTCAGAGGTACTTGACAATGGAAGCAGCAATAATATCTGAAATGCTGGTAAACTTCTACCAGAATGCACTTGCCAGAAGACAGCCATTTCGTAGTTTCGGATATTTGCATGTTGGTGTTATTGTTAGTAGTAAATTTCGTATTACGGTGGCGTAACAGTCCCTGATGTCACTCTAAATTCTGTGAAAATATGTCAATTGGTTTAAAATGTCGGTATGTGATTAAACAAATTACCATTGTCGTCGTGAAGGATAGAATCCCTGACGATGACACTGAATGTTAAAGTAGGTGGTACATATAATTACCATTGTGCTTGAAAGGGTTAAATGAGAAACCTCTGCGACTTAGACATAAACACAAGTAGAAGATTAACTGATAAGAAAGAAAAATATAATAATTTGAGCAACATCTTCACTTATGCATCGTTTTAAAATAGAATCATTCTCGGCCAGTACAGATTTAGTGTTTCTCGAACGAGCAGTGACTCAAAAACTGTAGTGTGACGGGACATTTCTGTTTGATGTTATTTTTCACCTCGAGGGAAGGAAGTGGACACGTCCAGGTTCTCGTAAACACTTGGCTTATCCGGTGGGTGAAAAGTGATGACTATTACATTTTGTCTTTAAACTCACCGTCTATCCAGATGTTCTATTAGTTGAATAGTCGATTCTGTTGGCAAGTGTTTGTATTCAATTCGATACATTCAGCCATAAATCAAACAGAGAAGATGTTTCTTTTAGCATCCGGATGTTGGATACGCGTTGATTGTAACGGGAGATGAAAATAAGGTTTTGACGCATTAAAAGGACCCCGTTGAAATTAAACGTGCATATCCTGTGCGTAGACAGGATCTTCTAAATGCAGTTATTTTGGTTTCTGGGATGAACATTTACAAAATTCCTCTCCAAATCGTTCGTAAATAAAGATGTTTGGAAATTGTCCAGCAAAGTCATTTCATTGAAGATGGCGGTATTCTGGGTCGTAGCGCCGTGTAGTCTGGTAGGAGTTTACAGACGTTTTAGAGGTCCTTGCTGCCTCCATCGTCATCGCCTGATGTCAATGATCATTTGGTCTATGAAGTTGGGACCGGACTTTTTTTTTCGCGAATCTTCCGGTGGTTTCTTCCACCACCCACGACGGTCGCTGCATCACCGAGTTATTTTAATATCTCTGGTGTTGCGATATCGGACATGGGGGTGGGGGAGGGCGGACTTCCTCAAAAACGTATTTATGTCCGAATTAACGGCGTGTTATATTTAGGGCACTGCATTTCACAATGACGTCCCAGCGCGGAGCGTGAGTCATTACTGGGAAGCGTCCGATTATTCAATGGCAAACCACAGCGGAGTTTTTGGCTGATGTTCGCCTCAGCTCCATCTTAACCTTCAAGTTGTTGGATTTAAAAAAAAATGTTTATTTTTAGTTTTAAAGATGTCTTTTAAAGTTATAATTCCGTCGCAGAGATACAGGAAAACGTGTAGTGATCTCATTAGTTAAGTATGGAGTTCTCCTTTAATTAAACTCTGTTGTTCGTCGTCAAAGTCACGTTTCATGTCAGCTGAAATGCTTACGAAACTTTGTTGCGTATTCTAGATATCTTTGCCACTTTTAAATAGGATCTTTTTGGAGGTGAAGCAAATGTCAATGACCTCTGCCTGTGTCTCAGAGAACAAGAGGAACCAGATACGTCGCTGTGTGTCATTTCGGAGGTCCGGTTGGAATTCGGAAGACGATCAGCATTACGAAACGTACAAAAACTAACCCGAACACGAAACAGAGAATTTATTATGCATCGCCTAATGTAAATTCAAAAATCCTAGTCCAAAATAGCAGAACGTTCTAGAAATGGGGACCGCAGAATGCAAAAGAATATAGGATAAATCACGTTCAAAGCAGAAAACAGAATCACTAAGAAATTTAAATAATCTTTGTTCGATATTAAATTTAGATCGTTTCGTCTGTACATAAAATTAAATTATTTTTACATTGAAAGTGTCCTTGGACGATTTGCTGTGGAGAAGAATATTTGGACCAAAGACAGACAGGTAATTGGAAGATGGAGACAGACACGTAATGATATTGAGATGAATTGCGAAGTAACAGAGGATGAGCTGGATGAGACATGCACCCCAAACCTGAGACAGAAATACGTACAAATTTACGTCGGAAAACCTCAAAGGACGATACAATTTGTGAGACGTACTTGTAAAACAATATTAAAATGAACATTAATGAGGTTTTTCGTTCAACTGGCGACTGTTAGGGTCCATTGGTTGGCTGTTATGACCGCGGTTGTGTAAACTAAGCAGGTGACCAGCTGAGCAACTCTCAGTTTCTCAGAGAATGTATTCGTGCAGTTGTCGATGATGAATACACCTCCGAAACTGAAATTCATCGCATTGACGATGCCACTGACCTGACAAATCGCTGTCCTTGCTTGGCGTAGACCCCCGGCACCAAGTTGACACTCACTCACCTTGGTCAGAATTCCGTCGTGCATGTCCGTCGACGCTGGGTTTCAGACTTGTACTGGCTCGGTGTCTGGCCTTAGTAGACGCGTCCGACTGGCGCGCCACTCAGCGGACATTTCTGCAATCAAGTCACTCAAATTTCTAATAATAATCTGAGTTCTCTAAGTCACCATCCCAAAGCAACAATGACGACGAGAAGAGTCTTCAATTCTGTTGTGGCGTCTGATTTGTGTCCGTGAATAGCGAGCATGTAGCGCGCACTGAAAAAATGACGCATTTTAAATTTAAATAGGAGAATATGAAAGAAAGAGAAAACTTGGTAAACCTAGGCGTAGATGGGAGGATGATAATGAAAAGTGTGTTAGAGGATGAGGTCCTGCGATGGACTTTTGTGAACACGATTATGAACCTATTTTCAAATAAGGCGGGGAATTTCTAGATTAGCTAAGCGACGAGTTTCTGAAGGACTTTGTTCAAGGAGTTGATTTCTTTTCCCCCTCGGAGCAGCTGTCATTTATTTATTTTATGTGGTATGACGTTATCGTTACGTCATATTTTGGAACAGCTTGTGTCAGGTGGAGAAATACGATATTTTTGTTGCTGAAACGTGAGATCTGCGTCCAGGGTCAAACCCAGTACCGGAAGTTCCAGATGTGTCTGAGTGTGGTAGGCGACACTACGACGCGCGGAATGGATCCGTCTTACGCAGGGATTATATTCACGTCACCGCATCCATAAGCAACTTTCGTTCGTAATTTATTCAATTACTTTGTGTCATTGTTGTCTTAATGTGCCGCGTTTATTAACCCGTGAAAGCCAGAGGTAAACTATTTTTCTCGATTGTTGTAACATCAGTAGTTGTATTTTGCCCGCATGTCGTATTTGTGGGGTTTTTTTAATTGTTGTCAGTGATACTTACCGTAGACGGGATTAACCAATTGATCCTTGTACAATAATGGAAACACGTCGTTTACTGTGAGACAAGAATTAAATGTTATTTAGTTCAAAATTCCGCCCTAAAGTAGCTCCCCCCCCCTCCCAATGTTAACACAAAAATTTCACCATTGTCTCCCCCTCAAGGTTAATATTTAAATTCAAAATTCTGATCGAATATGAACGTTAAAACTTTTCAAACGGACAATTTCTGCCCCACGTGATCTCCTCACTGGATATTGCGCTAGGGCTTTGAACCACCCTGTATAGTGTTAATGAAGAGGATGGTTAGTGAATAATGAATCGGGAAGTGTTTGGAAGGAGGCGTTCGTGACCTTATTTATGGTATTTCTTAGTTATTTGGCTCGAGGGGCAGAGGGCATGTCTCTGAGACGAGATTTGAACCAGGAACTTCTCGTATTCGAAGGAGTACCAGTCTTATTAAAGGCGGTAATGAATCTTGGTGGTTCCGTAAACAGTGGGAAGTATCTCGACTCTGTGAGTGGCTTAGGTTTTAAAGCTGTTGGTTTTCCTTACAAATTCTAATGCAAGCAATTGGCGCCGGTCGCGTGTCGTGGAGGAAGATAACCTCGGGGCAGAAGTTGAAGTTCAAAGTTCAGTTTCTTAGTTAACTGGCGTCAACATTCCCAGACCGTCGGACAAACTTCGATACATACTTGGTCGCTCGGACACTGGGACCGTGGGTTCGAATACCGCTCAAGCCATGGATGTTTGTCCGCGTTTTTCTGTGTTGTGCTGTCCTGTGTACAGGTAGAGGCCTTGAGAAGGGCCGATCCCTCGTCCAGGGTGTCCTACCAAATGTCTAAATAGATTAAGTAACCTCACGTATGCGAGCAGGCCAGAGTCCTTCAAGAACTGTGGAGCTACGCGGATTCTCAAAATCGTCACAACAGGTGTCTGTATCAAAGCGCGATTCAGTTCACTAAACTGTTGGTCTAATTCTATTTAATATCATCCTCAAACCAACTCATAAATTCGTAAATGACGTCTTTCGTAGAGTTCCTAATTCCAAAATGTATTTACTTGTTTGTGGTTTATTTAATGACGTCGTCAGTAGCGTTATGACAAATTGCTGTATCACCAACTCTGTTATCCAATTGCAAACAAGGTTTAATTTACATATTTACCTCGGCCCTGCGTGGATTCTTCTCAGAGTCTTTCTAATACCGTATTATTAATCATCAGTGACGTAGTTACTGTTGTCGTAAATTGTTATCTGACGGTCTGGCGTCTGAAATGACAGTCTGATAGCGTCATTTAGGTTTTAGAAGTGTGCGAGAGCGAGGAACTTGCTAGTTGCTACGATAGTTCGTTCATCTAACATCCACTAATGGACTAATAAAGGTAAGAACAGTATGTTAATTAACGAACGATAATTATGAATAACCGAACGTGATGAAGTTACCATAACCCAAGTTTTAACGGAAACATACGAGTCAGTCCGAACGCGTACGAACGTAACTCGTGTGAGTTCCAAGATGAAATAATGTACTTTCCTCAGAGTAAAAGTGATTTTAAAAACTTACATTCCTTCACGAATGCTACTATAAATTTCCAATGTCTCTCTGGCTTTGTATTTACCATGCTTGTCACGTGGGCTCATGGATAAATCGTATATTATCAGAAATAATTTATCAAACTTCACGTAAACGAGTAAGTTCCAGTGACTCCCGTTCCATTTGTTAAATGTTGAAAATTGAAAGTCGGCCAGTTTTTTGGTCGTACAACGCGACGCAAAATCCCAGAAAACTGTCGTCTCATCAAATTAGCAGACCTTCGATATTTCACTTTTCATTACCTCGACAGTTCGAATGAGATACACAAATAAATAAATGAAAGTCGATGGAAGGTAAACACTCTTCGAAAAGTTAGTCCTACTTCGTATAAGGTTAGAATTAGAATTTTATTAATGGCTGGAGTCAACTCTTTTACGTGTAAATTTAAATTTAACAAAAATACATCTTATGTCACAAATACTTTAAAGTGAAAAAATATTTTTACAAATTACAAATTCTCCGTTATCAAATTGGCGAGGTCTTTCGGGAGACCCTACAGATGTTGACGTAGAATCTGTAACAGATCACTGGAGCTGAGAAGTTGAAGGTTGGTGCGTGTTAAATTTGGCTCGATGTCATCAGTGGCTTATCTCCGAGTTGACATGTTTTTATAGTAGAAAGTTATTAATAAACATTTCTCTTTACGAGGCTTGTATAATTTTTTATCCTATCGGTCAGTCATTTTGATCGAATATTGCACATGTCGTAGATAAATATGTCAATAAAATTCTCGTAACATTCCTTAGCCACGTGCTGCAGCAATGAGAACACAAGGTAATGGTACGGATTTTTATTTTACTCAAATGAGAGGTGGGCGTATGGATCTACGTCTTTCCCCCATCGCCGTTAAGACCCAATCCCCACCCGAGTGTGAAAATGGGTTTTGCGCTTTATAGGTACGGTAGAACTTTACCGACGTTTCGGAGGTGCTTGCTACCTCCATCATCAGGGCGATGATTATGATGAGAAGACAGAGATTGAAAAGATGTTGACACAGTTGAAATATTTGTCTTGTGAGTGCTATCTGCTGCTTATTGTTAGTTCGTGGTTTTATCTT